CATAAAATTACGAAGTATTCCCAATGGCACGCATATAAATACAATAAATACAAAGTTTGCTCTTAAGAATTTGGCAAAATAATTAGTTACTGTTATTTAACATTATTTGATCTCATTTGGTAATCAAAATATTAACGTGCCTGTGAAATTATCCAATTCTTTTCGATGATGGCATGATGCATTTTTATAATATACAAGGATTTTCTTTTTTATTTATCTAAAATTGGTTTGGCAGAATTGTAACATCTGCAAATATTAAATGCAAATGATGGCATTCTCAAATTAGACATGGTATTAATTTTCTAACAGTCCATGAAGTCAAGAAACAGACGAAACTAGCAACAATAAAATTTCCAAAATATTTATTAATGCCGACGTCGCACAGTGTAGCCGTGTGTTAATCTAGAAGGATTAAATTCAATTTTTTTAGAAATTTTAAGTGATAATACTGTACCTTAGTAGATAAATATGTAAAAAATGTTAATTTGCCATAAAAACTTAAAAAAAAAAAAATTGTACCTTAGAACTTTTTACATGCAAAAATTCAAGACTGTTGTCATTGCTTGACATGCCAGAACATAATATGGATGTTGATGAAACAGAAAGGTATTAATGAGGACGATTCCCTCTCAGACAGCAGTTCCTAGTTTTAGTTCAAATATTTGGTACCTATATCAAATTTAAGGTGTTTCAATGGAAAAGTCACTTATATGTAGTTACCTATATATTTATAGAATTAATAATTTTTTTACTTATTTAAGAAAAAAAATTTGGTTTATTAAAATTTTATATTATAGTAACTTTCAATTAAATAAACTTGTGTAAGATACATATTGTGACTAGTTTACAATAAATATTATATTTAGATATAAATACATTATTTTACTTACATTAGAAGCTTTAAAAAGATATTGATTTGATTTATTCTTGTGGCGTTTTCTTTAGTTTTATATTTGATTTGTATCCTGTTTTACAATCTGGAACGACGTATATCTTGCTTTATTGTATTTTGTCTCTTATGTTACTTGTACTCAGGTACTTTTTTTCACACTATTTTGATTCTTTTCGCCATTTTTTTAAAAAATCACTTCATTTTACATTGACTTACATAGAAAATTGATACCGCTGTTATTCGACATGCCAACTACAGTCAATTTCGCAAACTTTATAAAAAGAAGGACGGAAATTTGAAATTTGACCATTGCCGATTCGCCTCCTTCTTTCTAGTCTTCATAGGCGTGAAACACTATTGCGCTATTTCATTTCGTCAAACTTTTGTATTTAGCTTTTAAACTTGATTAATAATGACTTGCTTCTCTTGTCTGGAATAATTTGCGATATAAAAAATTGCTATAGGTTGCCTAACAAGTTGTAAGTACAACAAAATCTGACACAAAAATTGTGTCCCAGAAAGTTTTATACATATGAAAAAAATGCTATCTTACATTTCATAAAAAAATCTTGTAAAGTTCTACATTACTTCAAAACGCATAATCAAGCATCAAATTTGATGAAAATTCAAAAACTTCTAATATCATTAATTGGAATATTTACTGAAATCACGATGATAACCTTTTTCGTTTGAAATTTTAAGTAGATAAAAAAAGTCTCGCAGCTTCCAATTAAAATTAATTTTAAATAAATGGCATGGAAAATATTTTTTTCTTTTAAATCACTATTGATAAAATCTCAATTACACACGTATTTATTACCATTTAATACGAGACAAGACGAGATGAGAGACAAGAATCAATCTTCTCGCGGCATCACTAGACCTTACTTTAGGCTTCCGTAACTCCTTAAGGGTACAACGTGGTATAGAGGTAAATTTCGTTATATCATCATATTTTTGAGTGCCCAACACGCAAATGTTCTGTGTTGGTACTTATGCGGAATACCTTGTATCTTAAAATAGTGGCGGTCAGTCAGCAATATCAGCTGAAGAAAAATATTATGAACGCCAGAGATGACCTCCCAGATTATGATTGGGCCAAGAAAATAAAACAAACAAGCTGTACGGAAGTAATGAATAGACGTAAAATATTTTTTTCTACACCTACATGGATATTAGCACAGACGCACAGACTACAAAACGAAAGAGTATGTCATTGCGTTCAACTGAACGAATATATTTCATATCCACTCTAGGTAGTGAGAACACTGCAAAAAAATTATAAATTATCAAGGTATTCGGTTTGCTCATAAGTGGCTGCAAATTCAGCTTTTGATCTTAAGTATTGAAATGAAAATGATGTCAAATTTGTACATTTTTGATCGTCCAGCAATCTAATAATTTCGTTTCTTGTAATTTTTGACAATGCTGCCTAACCTGTATCGGTTTGCAAAATCGGCTAATATCGATTCATTCGGCACTTTATCTTACCACGAAGATTAAAAAATGTTAGAATTAATGTTACATATTTCACCTGCTTACTGGCCTATTAGGAAACCGTCTAAGATAGAATAATCAAAATTTAAAAAAAAAACCACAAAGAACGGTAAGATATCGATTGCATTCGTGCAGACGAAAAAATTTTCTAACCCCCATTTTTAAAACGCTTTTTCATGTTTCTGATCATTCTGAGTCCGAAAATCTGTATGTATGCCGGCACGATAACTCTAGAACGAAAGTTCTGATTGACTTGCGATTTTCTTGAATAATTACTTCTAACTTAGAACCCTATTAATTTTCAGAATTTTCGGTTCATTCTAACTACTTTAATAACAATTTTCCTAAAATCCGCCTATACATTCCTTATGTGACAATTTTAGGAAATCGAATTATTTCTAACGTCAAAATTCCTAACATTCTTTACATTCCATAAATTGCAAACGACCTGTCAAACAACAGCTGTTGATAGTAAAGGTGAAATTTCTAAGGCGGGTTGCGACCTTCATACTTGCAACCATATAGCCATTTTGGAGGCTATTTTTATTCGAAATTAGTCGCCAAGCCTGTCAATTTATGAAAAATATATAAGCAGTTTCTTAAAAATTACTTTTTATGGTGGTGCTATTAAGCGTACTACTATTTCGCCCTTAGCCACAAAAACACCTTCATCAAATTTACTGGTTTCCTGTCGCAACCCCATAAAATAATTAACCGGCCATTTTATTTGGCAAAAATCAAAATAATGCTTGGCTGTGCCTGTCAAGTATCAAGATGTCAACTGTGATATGTGAATGGCTCTTAAATGTCAAATTATTTAAAAATGTATACTTCTTTTGATATTTATTGCAAATAATAAATATCTCAATTTAGGCTTTCCATAAATAAAGGTACAGCAAGACAGATAATATAATGTTCTTATACAAAGTACTTTTTTATTATATAAAGAGAGGTAGGATATAATGCCCATTTCAAATTTGGATCAATTATGATACCAAGGTATTTTGTTGTGTTTTTCATTTTAATTATAAAGTTGTCATTTATTTGTATGTTGAAAGAAGGCCTTTGTAAATTACATTGCTTTCTATGGATCTACTTTAACACAAAAATAGTTAACCTATCTTCGCAGAACTATTAATAATTTAAACATAGTAAGTAGTATTAATATAACATCAAGTAATTTTTTAAAATAAAATACATGATCTCAAAACAAATAATCTATAATAAATGCGGATAAAAGAGGGGTAAAATAACAATAAATTAAGGGAAATACTTAAAAACGGCAGGTTTAAAGAGTATTATCACAAGAAAGTATATCCGTTCTGTTTACTTATCAAGTATTGTTGGAGGTTACTTTTGAATACATTTATTGTTTTTTTTTTAATTTCTGTAGGCAGTCTATTAAATTTTTTAAACCTTTATACAAATTGTATTTTGGTTACTTTTAGTGATGGCTTGCCGTACATAAAAGTCAGATTGGTTTCTTGTATTACAGTTGTGATATTGCGAATTATATTGAATTTTTTCTAATAGATCTGATGCGATGGTACTATGTCATTTTTATTTTAGAAATAAATATGAGTCATGTACTGAACATAATTCTGAACTGAAAGCCAATTTATTTTTTTTAACATAGTTGCAATACTCATCCTTCTGTCCTTTATTAATAGAATATAAATCGGCGAAGTAAGAAGCCCAAATATTTTACATGAGCAGGCTTAAGAGGTAAAGGGGCCAATTATTATTGGATAAATTGCTCGAACAAGTTTTTAAACCCTAATCAAAAGGCGATATAGAATGGTTTTAAAAATCAAGGCTTGTGAAAATCATCACCTGGTTTAACCTAAGTAATGCCAATGCTTCACAAACCAAAAAATTCAACGTGCTAATACTACTACCGGCTTTCGGTATTTCGTTCCAATAAGTTAAATCATTTCTCGTTTTTCTTATGCTACGAGATTACCCTTGTGGGCCTCAGTCTCGATAAGGTAGGAACCACCATTTTAGCGTCTCTCGAATTTTTTTTAATTTTGGATCTCTATTTTTAAATATCAGTAAAACTTTACTTATTTTTAATTTGGATGGGAATCAACAACTTTGAAATGACGTATTTACTAAATAAGTTAATGGAACTGAAATTTCGTCTATAACTCTTTTGATCAAAAAGTGTGGTATATCATCTGCATCGCATGGCTTTTTATTTTTAAATTTGGATTGTAATAACTCCAATAATTCCGTTGGACAATAAGGTTTTAAAAGCAAAGAATTAATTCTTATTTATTTGAGAAAGCCTGTTAGTCTTTGAATTTAGTTCATCATTATAATTAGTGCATTCAAGAAAAATTATTAAATTCTGAAACAATTTCTACAGGTTGGTCAAACAATTTTCCATTATGTTTTATAGAAATATTTTGACGCTTTTTGACTTTATTAGTTAGTTCTGTAACTAACTACAAATATCATTAAAGTTTGGATTTATAATCATTAATGAAAAAAATCTTTTAATTTTTAACTGGGGTCAATAAATTATTAATTGGCCTCTAATATGTATAATAATTTTTCGCCAAAAAACTACAGTTTAATAAACTAAATAATGATAATAATTAAATACCTGTTGCATTTTGAAGTCATTAGACACATTGTAACCCAATTTTAAGTTAGCAGCAAAAGTCATGGCCTCCTTTGCTGTCAAGGCCATCCGTAGTTCTTCATTTTGAGGTATATAAGCTGATAACTTTCTATACCGCGGATTCCGATCTCTAACGACATCGTTTAATTTCACAGTACCGGTACTTCCTTTAGTTCTGAAAATGAAAATAATATTATGTATTTCCAGATTTTGTATGCTTTTTCTCTTAATTTAAATGTGCTATTTATTAGATATTTTATGAAGATTGTTCTCCAACAAAATATGTATGCGTTTACTTAAAGTCCGTACAAAAAAACATAATATTTATAAAGCTGATAAATCGAATTTTGGTTATCATAAGAAAACTAATTATCATAACTTTTTAACTAATGAATATATATAAATTATGCGTATTGCGTAGTATACACGATGTTTTTTTTATACTGAATCTTTTAGAAGATCTTGAAATATTTGTAATTCAATTCACATGTAAAGACTTAAAGATAGAAACTTCCAATCGAATTGGGCGATATTTCACAAATTATAATTTAATTATTATAATATTTCATATTTTTCTAACGATTTCTTAAATATTTTCCAGAAAAATATTAATGAATATTCAATTGGATGAAACAAAATCTCATTTATTTAAATTGTAATAATTACTGTAGGATTCAAAAGGTAATTGAAAAATCACGTCATCACCCAAATCTACTTTTTTCTGATTTTTTTTTTATTTAAATTAACGTGTCTCAACATCGACGGTTATTGACACAGGCACAACAGTTTACAAAAGGTTACAGGCATAAATAAATTTGGTACAAACAAATTAAATAATAGGAAACAAGAAAATTTGACAAACGTTGGATAATCTTAAATTAGGTTGTATTGATTAGTCTCTTTTAAAAACTAAATTTAGATTTTTAAAGCCAGAGGGCAAACTTAAGATGTCTAATGTACACAATGTTTTCTTCGCGAAGCTTGGTATAATGGACAGTATATTAAAATGTGATTCAGACACTGTTACAATGTTCACATAGGGGAGGGTTTTTCGTAGCCATCAGGTACTCGTAACCATGCGTGAGACGAGAATGGCCGATCCTTAGTCTTCTGATGATAACTTTGTCCCTCCTATTCATTATGGGCATGTCGAAAGCTCGGGTGGACTGTTGGACTGGATGAAGTTTCGTGTTTTTTGCATTCCAAATATTTTGCCATTTGGTTTGAGTAGCTTGCTTGAGACAAGCTTTAAGTTCTTTGTAGAGCTGGATATTTACAGACGGCGAATCGGATAGCTTCTTTGGCTGCTTGATCAGCTAACTCGTTTAGCTATATGGATATGCTTTTGGTGGCGAGTTCATGGCAGGTCTGCTGTATGGATTGCACTACGGGATGTTGTGAAAAAATGTCCTTAATAGATTGAATGGCAGAAAGTGAGTCTATGCATATTGCTACTTTTTGGTATTCATCCATAAGGGTCTTCAAAGCTTCAAACATTTTAAATACTTCTTCGGTGTGAGCCCTGCAGATGGAAGGGAGTCTGCATTTGGTTACTACTGTGTGAGTTGTGACCACTGATCAACCTATATCATTTTCGTTTTTTGGAGCGTCCGTAAATAATTACTTATCAAAAGATTTTGAACTGATTAGTTCAAGAAATCCTTGCCTTTCGTTGGGTGTATTTGATTTATTGTATTTGTCAAAAAAGTTATATTTTGTAGTTTTTTCAGCCATGGTGGGAATTTTAAAGAAATGAAGTGGGAGGTAGCGGTAAAGTTAAAGTTTTCCAATAATGGTTTTAGAATATGTGGCATTGAACGCATGGTTGTAAAAGAGTTTTTGTTTGATGTTTGAGTTTGAGTGATTAATGTATAGGTTCGTCCTTTTTAAACAGTTGCCCTTCGTTTCTTGTATATGATGTCTCCATATGAGCCTTTTGTCGAATTTTACTTCTAACAATTTGTTATGGTCAACAACTTCTAAAAGAACTCCATTCAGATTTATGGCCTAAATGTTTTGTCTTCTTGTAAATTGGATGATTTTGGATTTAATAATACTCTCTCTAATGCACCACCTTACGAGTGAATTTCTACCCCTGAAGCCGACTGAGCGACTTGTGTAGGGTAAGGGACGGCTATTATTATTATTTTTCGTGGCGCTCCGAGGCGACTTAAAGATGATTGATGGCGCCATTTGACTTACAGATGAGGAAAACTCGGAAAACCTCACCCACCATCATCAAATCCTATAGAAAACCGTGCAAACAAATTCACATGGCTCCTGTAGAATTCGAAAACCATGTCTGTTTGGAAGGCGAAAGCTTTTTAAATCTTGTTCATGTGGTCCACTGAAAAATATTGTCTACAGCTTTTTGAAGTAAGGTGCATGTACTTTCGGTGGACCTTTCCTGGAAGAAGAGGATTAGGTTACCAGGATTAGGTTAGGGGGCGTCCATTAATTACGTGAGGTAATTTTCAGGATTTTTTGACCCCCCCCCCTCCCCCTGATGAGATTTCGTAAGATTTTCCTCAACTCCCTCCCCCCTCCCCTAATCTCACGTGAGATTTTAAAAAAATTGTTTTGGGTAGGGTTGCCACTTTTTTGAAAAGTGAAGAAAAGGACAATGACGTTGACAGGGGCTCTGGTATACAAAAAGTCATCATCACTCTTGCAGTAAACTTATTTAAAAAAAAGTCGTCGAGCTAAAGGAAAGAAATTCTCATCTTATTAAGCTTCTAAAAAAAAAGTCGTCGGGCTGAACGAAAGAAAAACTTCCTCTTTGTCTTAACGAGCTTCTAGAAAAAACGGTCGTCGGGCTGAACGAAAGAAAATCTTCCTCTTTCTCTTACCGAGCTTCTAAAAAAAAACATCGGAACGAAAGAAAATCTTCCTCTTGGTCTTGCCGAGCATCTAAAAAAAAAGAGGTCCTCAACGTATGTGCGCTGTTACTCAAACTCAAAAAAACGACACATCTGTCATATGAAAAGAAGAGGGCGTTTACCGTAAAAAGGACATTTTAAGCTTTAAAAAGTCACAAGGACATTTTGCTTTAAAACAGGACTGTCCTGTTCAAAAAAGGACAGGTGGCAACCCTAGTTTTGGGTGTAAATGCGTTGGAATTAAAAAAAAAATCAAAATATGTTCTATTACTTTTATTTAAGACAAGCAAAGACTAGTATTTGAGAATATTGCCGTAATATTAAATTTCTAAAAACATTCTTTACTTTAATTTAACTTTTCTTTTTCACGCAATTTTACATCGATTTCTATTAGAAAAAAATTACGTCAGATTTACAAAGACCCCCCCTCTCCCCCAAGTGAGATTTGGAAAGGTTTAGCTTGATCCCCTCCCCCCTTGAACACCTCACGTAATTAATGGACGCCCCCTTATCAGCATATATTGAATATTTTACTGGTCATAGTACAGTGGAGCAAATGTCGTTCATCGCGAGAAGGAATAGGGTGGTGCTAATGATTGAGCCTTGTTACCGTTAAATATATACTGCATCCGACATTTTTCTATTTGTGGAAAGGTTCCTGTCGATCAGAAAGTTTTGGAAGAATGAGAAAGGTTCCCGTAAGATTGATTTCTTTTAACTTCTGCAGGTGATGTCAAAGGCACTTCAATATCAAGCGTTATGGCGATGACGTCATTTCGATTAGTTACAGATTCGACAATTTTTGATTGGCCATTGAGGAGCGATTTGATCTGAAGCCTGATTGTGCAGCATTTAGGATGTTGTGTTTTTTTTTTTGATAACAGGGTAGGCGTTTGTTTATTATCTTCTTAAGCAGTTTGCACAAAGTGCATGTCAATAAAATAGGTCTAAATGCACTTGGAAGGGTGGACGATTTGTCGTTCTTTTTGACAGAGATGACGATTGATTGGCACCATATTGTTGGAAACTGTTGACTAAACCATATTTTGTTATATAGTTCGAGCAGTTTTAAGAGTGTTTCTGAATGAAGATTTTTGAGGAATGTTGATGGAATATGGTCAGGAACTGTAGCTGAGTTTTTGGTAGATGAGACAGCAGTATGGAGTTCTGTATATATAAAGGGTAAATTGAATAGATCGGAGTTATGTAAGGCGATTGATCGTGTGTGGGGTAGGGTATTTGAGGAGACATTGTTGGATTAGGATTTTTCTTTAGAGTAGTTTGCGAGAATATTGGCAATATGTTGGTTGTCCGTAATTATTTTGTTATAGTGAATGAAGGCAGGGATTTTGTTACTAGTTTTGCATCCACGCATTTGCTTTATTTTGGCCCAAACTTAAGTGGAAGTGGTGCTGGGCGCCATTGTACTGACAAATTTATTTATTTATTCTATTGGAAGTATAAAATTTTAATTTTGCTGATACGTATCTTGAATAGATTTTTTTTTGTATTTTCTGACAGGTTAGATTGTGGAAGGTATTCGATTGTGCGTTTCTTCTTTTTATTTTTTTTTATGTTAGAACTATTTGGATCTTCTATCGAGATAGTCGATTGGCTTTCTTGATCACTTAAAGTTGAAATTTCAGAAAGGCCACGTTTTGGTCTCGGTTTGTGTAAGAGAGGCTTGGATTGTTTTGGGGGGTGTTGGTGAAGGTATTGCAGTTGTATTGATAATTATATGAGGCGGGGTGGGTGTGGGTGTGTGTGTGTGTGTGTGTGTGTGTGTGTGTGTGTGTGTGTGTGTGTGTGTGTGTGTGTGTGTGTGTGTGGGTGTGTGTGGGTGTGTGTGGGTGTGTGTGTGTGTGTGTGGGTGTGGGTGTGGGTGTGGGTGTGGGTGTGGGTGTGGGTGTGGGTGTGGGTGTGGGTGTGGGTGTGGGTGTGGGTGTGGGTGTGGGTGTGGGTGTGGGCGTGTGCGTGTGCGTGTGCGTGTGCGTGTGCGTGTGCGTGTGCGTGTGCGTGTGCGTGTGCGTGTGCGTGTGCGTGTGCGTGTGCGTGTGCGTGTGCGTGTGCGTGTGCGTGTGCGTGCGTGCGTGCGTGCGTGCGTGCGTGCGTGCGTGCGTGCGTGCGTGCGTGCGTGCGTGCGTGCGTGCGTGCGTGCGTGCGTGCGTGCGTGCGTGCGTGCGTGCGTGCGTGCGTGCGTGCGTGCGTGCGTGCGTGCGTGCGTGCGTGCGTGCGTGCGTGCGTGCGTGCGTGCGTGCGTGCGTGCGTGCGTGCGTGCGTGCGTGCGTGCGTGCGT